TTTTAATATTAGGGAGGGGGGGGGCCTTTAATAATAGGGGGAAGGGATTAGCTGTCATGGACCCTGTGTTGAGTCAAACAATCTTCAGGGTCTGCATGTCCTAACTACCCAACAGCTTTTCCTGAGGGAGCATTCCTGAAAGGATTCATAGTGAAGCCTAACACCAGAAGCGCCCAAGAGTCCGCAACGCGCTTTCCGTTGCACTGAGGACGATGCTTTCCAACTCCCTCGGCGTTTTAGGGGTTTGGGTTGCCCCAGGTCTTCAGTTACTTAAACAATTAGTAGGTTACTGAGCATATACCCTGGAGATCCATGTACCCAAATAGTATATACATTGGCCCCGAAGTACTTATACACGGATATATCTATTTGGGTACATGGACCCTTAGGGATAATGTATCCCAGTAATTAACCTATATGTACCCTGTATTTAGGTAGCTGGGGCGCTAGGGTTTGTCATGGAGTGTGTGGAGCTTTGCCGAAGCGGCTTGGGGAAAAGGCTTTCGCACGCTACCCTAGGGTCCAAGCATTTCAGGAGAAAAGCCGTCTGTTTCCAGGGTTTAGGGTTTATAAGCCTACAACCATGATCTGAACCAGAGAGCCCTCCCCTCTGAATCATGCCTAAAACTTGTCCAGCTCTCACCCGCGAACCCAAAATCCTAAGCCCCGAAGCCCGACATATAGAACCCTAAAGTCTACCTAACCCCGAAACATAAGACTCGAAAGCCCGGCACCTTCAGGGTTTACGGCTGAAGGTTTAGGGTCTGAACAACCCTAAACCCTGGCTCGGGAAGATGTCGAACCCTAAACCTTAAACCCCTAAACCTTGCAGCTGACAAGCAACGAACCCTAAACTCCCAGGTAACGGACAGGTCCTTCATACAGAGGTCTGAGTACAAACCCTACACCCTGAAACCTAAGCCCCCCAAACCACATAGTCCCCAAGCATCTATAAAACCCGGAGCCCGGCACCCCGGCCCGGACTCTCAAACTCGCGAAGCCTTAAGACCCCGAAATCCTCAACCCTGAACCGGCAACCGCAAACCTTGAACTCCCAAACCCTAAGCCTTGAACTCCTAAACCTGGAGCCCTAAACCCTCAACCTTGAACTCCGACCCTGAACCGGCAACCGTAAACCTTGAACTCCCGAACTTGGGACCCTGTTTCTGAAAGCCAGGCGACTGCATCGCCACATGGATGGCCGGGGAAAGCGCGGTCTGTGGTCCGAACGCGGGGGCCTTTCAGAGGGCATAAGAACTATCTAGGCGTGCGGATATACATACGTACATACATACATACATATATATATATATATATAGGGGGAGATATATGTATATAGATAGTATAAATAACACAGACGGTATAGTATAGATAGGAAGATATGTAGATAGATACATAGTCAAATAAATAAGTAGACAGATACGTAGATAGATAAATAAATAAATGGATAAGCAGATGGATAGTCAGACAGATATATAGATCGATAGATAAACTGATCGTGCATATAGATAAAGATGGATAGATAGATCGATAAACAGATAGTATAGTATAGTATAGTATAGATGGATAGATAGCTAGATAGATAGGTAGATAGATCGATAGATACATAGATAGATAGGTAGGTAGATAGATAGATAGATGGACAGATAGTATAGTATAGTATAGTATAGTATAGTACAGTATAGTATAGTATGTAGAGTAGAGTAGAGTAGAGTATAGTATAGATAGAAAGATAGATAGAACGTTAGATAGATTGATAGATAGATCGGAAAATAGATGGATAGATAGATCGGTACTTAGGTAGGTAGGTAGGTAGGTAGGTAGGTAGGTAGGTAGGTAGATAGATAGATAGGTACATAGACAGATAGATAGATAGATAGATAGATAGATAGAGAGATAGATAGATAGATTGATAGATAGACAGATAGACAGATAGCTGCAACTATAGATAGATCGATAGATAGATAGATAGGTAGATAGATAGATTAAGAGATATGCAGACAGTTCAGTTATGGCATACTGCGGTTTATGGAATTAAAGGTTAGCGATTGCGGAGCTTGGGGGTTTTGGGGATCAGGGAGTAGAGTCAAAAGAGTAAGTGCAGCACTGGACTTACTGCTTTGGGTGTAATGGTTAATGCTTGACGATGTATCGGCCAAACATCTGCACTAGTGGATACTTGCTGTAAGCGAGCTTCACTGAACCTCCGAACCTTCACGTGCATGAAAATGGTGTGCGTACTTGGCACTCTATGCATCCAGCCCGAAATAAACCACCTAAAGTCTCCGCGATCCACAGTGTATGTAGGCTTTCGATATACTTTCCGAATGCCTTAGATGGCTTTGGGAATAATTTAGCCAGTTCCTGGAAGGCCTTTGCAGCTCCCTGAAAATGAAGAGGTCCTCAAATCCCAACAGCCGAACCTTACAGTAACCAGCTGTCGCCTAGATCCATGTTCCAACTTTCTGGGGTTCACTATATTGAGTTGTAGTTGGAGCTTTCTGGCGACTTCCAGCAACGGCCATCCAGCGCACCTCACCCATCTGCCAGCTCTCCTCCAGCTCAGTTTTGCTAAGCTTCACGGCTTTAAGGCTTCGGTTTAGGGTTTTACTAGGGTTCAGGATTAGGATTTAAGGTTTAGGCTTATATTTTGGCTCCTACATAGCAATTATATTTTGGCTCCTACATAGCAAGGACGAGGGTTTAGTTTGGGATTTAGGGTTTAGGGGCCTCGTGTGTAGGGCCGGTCCGACGCCGGATGTAGGGTTAGGGTTGCGAGAAGCTCCTATGGTGAACTCACTTTCGAGCCGAGTGCGAGATTATGGGCTTCCAAGGCTGGAAGAATCTGGAAGAGGGTCTCCAAACCCTATAAGCAAATTCTGACGGATCGGAACTCGCACATCACTGGCCCCATGTTTTGTTAGCAGGTCCAGAAGTGAATCGCGAAACCAAGGCACACGTTCAAAGCCATATCCGTGTTTTGGGCTTAATTTTGTTATGGTTTAGGGTTTAGGTTTCGGGGTAGACGGTTTCAGCACTCACAACTGGGACAAGCCTGAGGCTTAGGGCAGCCCCAAACCCTAAGAAAGCTTTCAAGCCTCACCCTGAAGCGTGGCAAGTTGACCTGGAACACTGAAGGGCCGCGGAAACCCTGAGAGCCCCACGACCTTAAACCCTGCAGCCCAAAAACGAAACCCAAAACCGTACAAAGCTCCGAAACCCTAAACCCTAAACCCTAAACCGTAAACCGTAAATACTCCGTAAAGCCCTGAACCCAAAGACCCCGCAGGGAGTCCTGAGAGTAGGATCCCTTCATTGATTCACTAGGTCCCTTAACGGAGCCGCGGGAAAAGCAGGGGCCCTTAAAGCAACCTTTAATAAACCCTAGAATCACACACATTCTATCTAGAAACCTTATCAGAACCTACTCAAGGCGCCGACTAGAGGAACCCCCAAAAGTTACCCGCGCGCTCTATGAGACCCTACCCATAGGCCCCATAGTAGTTCCTTTTTGGGGTTACCTTTTTGGATTCTTTTTATGAACCCCAAAAAGGTACTACTTTGGGGCCTATGGGTAATGCCAACGAACTAGGGTTCTGGGTTTTTTTGACACTCACACTCGGACAAAGCCTGGCAAGGTCTGTAGTGATACTGGTCCAACGATGAACAGAAGATTCCGCTCCCTAAACCCTAAACCCTAAACCCTAAACCCTAAACCCTATTCCGCAGTAGATAACACTGGGGACTTTGTGGTCAGGAAGGGCTTATCGACACGCCCAGGTTTCAGGGTTTAAGGTTTAGGGTTCAAGGAAGCCAAACGACTGTGAACCCTACAGCCCGGAAAGGAACGCTCAAAAACTCAACCGACTTAATAATTAGAATAGGGTTTGGGGTGTATTATACTACAGTCATAAAAAGGAAGTCCAAAATTCCCATTCTAATTATTAAGGCCCCTACATTAGAGCCCTGTGGAACCGGTAACGGAACCCTCGCAGGAACCCTTGAAGAAGGGCCGGCCTTCAAGGGAGGCCGAAGAGGTACGGTTTAGGGTTTCAGCACTCACTCTCGGACATGCCTGGGCGAGGTTCCTGGTACATGACGGTTTAGGGTTTAGGGTTTAGGACAAAGCCCGACCACCCAATCTACAGGGCCCTTAATAATTAGAATAGGGTTTTGGGCTCCACTATACTACTGTAAGTACAATAAGGAACCCCCAAAATAGTATCGATAGTTATTTAGGGCCCTATATTCGAAACCCGATCAAACACCCGAAAACGACAAGCTTAAAAAGGCACCCTGGACACCCTGTCAAACCGTAGAAACCCCGAAGGCCAAACTCAAAGAGGAACCGCAGGAGCTCCTGTGTCATGGACCGGGAGTCTTTGGTTGGATAACGAGGGACATCCACTTCCGGATCAACTGCAGGCTCGTCCTTGGATTTGAGGCTTTTTATCCCGTCAGTTTGAGGAGTTACCTTTGAGGGTTCTGTCGCAGCACTCCAGTAAAAGTAGTTATAACACAAAGACGATTATATGGCTTAATTATCCTTGGATTGACCGCTTGCTAAAATTTCCTATATGCTATACCTACCTTTTAAGGACTTATATAAAGAAATCAGAAAAAGCAACCTTAAAAAAGTGGTTTCTTCAGGGTCCAGGTAAGTCTTCCTCAGATGGGTCCCTGCCAGGGCTTCGGCCTAGGAGGGTCGAGGGTTTTGGCTTTGACGCTTGCAAGTTTGCCTTTCAGGATAGTAAGGGCTCTAAGAAACCCTAACCCCCCAGGTACCTACTATATAGGGTACTAGAGCCCCTAGGGCCCTTTATAGTAGGTACCTGGAGGTTGAGATTTAACATACACACAGATACATACACAAGCTCTTCTCGGCTGGGTGTTCTGCGATCATTCCGTAGGTGGTGTAGGATTCCGGTGACGACGAGGAAGGCAACGACTAAACGCAGGGTCTTGCTGCTCACATAGGAATGACAGGACTACCGATGTGTCTTAAAAATCATTAGTAGCCTACTTGTCCCATTTCCTCGGAAGCGTATACAATGAATCTTAAATATCCATCCAATCTTAATCCCCAAACCCTACACCTTGAACTTGAACCTCATACCCCAAGTCCCAAACGTACAAACACTAAACCCTGATTTTTTGCTTGCCGGGCATCTGCTGGAAACGGATCCTTTCCGAGGGTCCTGTCATCCGCAGGCTGAAGTTCTCAATTTCGGGTGTATCAGGGTTCATGTTTAGGGTTTATAGGGAGTAGGGTTTGGGGGTTTAGGGTTTAAGGCTCTTCATGGGTTCTAGAAGGCGTGTCTAAGTACGCACACGCGCCTTGGTTGTGCGGTTGGCTGCAGCTTCAACGATGACGAAGCTGGCCTCAGTTGACAAGAAAGCAACTGGTCTTGTCATGAGATTGTACCTACAGTCTCCGTTGCAGTTCCTTTTTTTGGTTTAACGGAAAATATTTTTAGGATCCTATAAGGCAACCCCAAAAAAGGAACTACAACGGAGACTCTAGGTAAGCACCGAAAGGCCTGAATCCCTTGCAGTGAACCCCAAAATCTTGGAAACCGGTTTCAGGACTAATACGGTTGATGGACAAAATCCTGCATGACCTTCTATACCTAAACTATGGGATTTATGGTACTATACTATATTAAGGTCATGATTTTGTCCATCAGCCGTAGTGCTGGGACTCCCTCTGCATTACTCTTGACTAGTGAGACTTTTAGGCTTCCAACTTTCGGGCTTCTACTATACAAACCTAAACGACTTGGCACAATGCTGACATGAAGTTCTCAGACCTCCTGTTCACCTCAGCGACTTGGGCCACACACAAGTGCTGTGGGGCATTCGATGTAAGGAATTGAAATCGCCTTGTGGGGCCTTCTATGTAGCAGACGGACTCATGCAAGAATCGAAAAGTCTTAGTACATCCTGAAAGAACCCAAGGTCTGGCGTGACTTGAAATTTCCCACTAGACCAATTCCTGGACAAGTACCCTTATAGGCTCTGAAAAGATTTTCGGGCCCGAAAGTCTGTACGAGCTTAGCTACTTGGAACCCTGGGTAGATGTCTCAAAGCCTTCCTGAACCTTCTTGTCGAGTGGCCCGGCTTGCTCCCTCGGTGCGTATTCTTTTCCGAAATGGTGCAAGACATTTGCGATCTGGTCAATCCTGGTGCAACGTGACTCACACCCAAGCTCCAACTTCGTCTTTGGCTTAGGAGGTAGGGCTAGTGACCCGGGGTATGGGGGCGATTAACAGTGGACATTCTAAATCGAAAGAGCCACCAAGTGACTAGTCTAAACCTGGACTTCCATTTCAATTGATTTCTGGGCCCATGAGCGAATCAAGGAGACTCACTCACTCACTCACACACACATCCCGTGCTTTGGCATGTACGCCCTTATACCCCCGGGACTAGGATTTAGACAGCCGCGCGAGAAGAGATATCATTACGACCAGTACAATGAAACATGGACGTACATGGGCCAACTATGGAGAAGGTCTTGCCACCAATCGCCATCATGCAGGATATGAAAGTGTGTGTGTGTATATATATATATATATACATATCCATATATATATATATATGCATATTTACACGGGGGTGGTGCACTATGGGCTCTGCAGCCTCCTAGCCGCATTGTATGTACATAGATCTATCTCAATGCGCATCTATTTATTTATCTATCTATCTATCTATCGATCTATCTATCTATCTATTTCTATGTCGATCGATCTCTCTATCTCTCTATCTCTCTATCTATCTATTCATATATCTAGCGATCGATCTATCTATCGATCTATCTATCTACGCATCTATCTAATATGCACTTATCTGTCTGTCTGACCTATTTATCTATCTATTTACCTAGCTATCTATCTATCTATCGACTATGTATCTATCGGTCTATCTATCTATCTATCGATCGACCTATCTATTTACCTATCTACCTGTCTATCAATCGATCTCTCTATCTATCTATCGATCGATCTATCTATCTATGTATTTTTTTCTGTCGATCTGTCGATCTATCTATCTATCTAGCTAGCTGAATCGAGCTATCGATCCATTTATCTTTCTATCTATGCATCTACCTGTGTGCGCACGTGGTGTGTGTACCTATTAATGTCACTGTCTCATACTGTGCTATGTGGCACAGACACATTAGATTACATATGTACACAGTTATGACCAGCGACACACATGCATGCAAGCCCTTCCGCTGACTTCGGCATCGCGAAGCAGCGTAGATTTGCTATCGCGGAGTCTGAGAGGTCAAACAGGTCGGGTCGAAATAGGGTACGCAAAATAGGGGCCTCAATAATTAGAATAGGGTTTGGGGGGTATATCATACTCTAGGTAGAATAAGACGCCCTTTCAGTAGTATTGGTAATTATTTAAGCCCCTATATCAGCGTGACCGATTCTCTTGTCTAAAGACCCCATAGGACTGCCCCTACGAGAAAAGGCATATGCAATCCTCGCAGCCCCAAGCAGCAAGCCTACGCCTTCGACAACACACAAATTTTGGAGTATGATAATGCCATTCGAGTCTTCTCCTGAACGGTGAACGGAGATCTAGAAAGCCCCACCCTCTTCTGAAATGCAAAAGTCCCGCACCCAACCCCAGAGTCTAAATCCTAAACCTCCTTAACAGCCCATTTGCAGCCGCAGCATGCTGAGCAAGCTCACTTGCAACAAACCCTTGAAACCGCACCTGGAAAGTGCTCCGCACTAACAAGAGGATTCCCCGCTTTAGGGTCTCAGGTTTGAGGGTTTAACAATTAAGGAATATTTAAGCTCCAAAACTTAGTACAAGCTTCGAGGAATTAGCTCGGGTTTCATAATTAATTCGCCTGGTTCTCTGCTTTGCTTGGTGCCCGGTCCTGTAGCCCAAGTGGTCGAACTGGGTTAGCGTCGCCTCCTGGAGTTCCTCCTGCATCTGAATTGTCCGCAACATGTTGTACCTGCACGGTTTAGTGTTTAGGGTTTAGGGTTTAGGGTTTAGGGTTTAGGGTTTTCTCAATCAGATATTACCTACGATGATGTAAGTCCTGCATTACCCATAATAAGGAAGATGCCATCATTCCCATAGTTCAGGGTCCTTAAGGTAATGCAGGATTTATATCATCAATAGTACTTCAATAACGGCTTGAAGTTTAGGTGGAAGGATTACGAACCAATCCTGGATCTTAATCGTCTTCCGGATCAAGTACTTTCGGGGCTCCTAGCTGGTACAGGGTCCACTGCAGTGGTCCACTGCCTCCGGATAGAGCCAGCTTTTTTTCTGAACCAGGCTCATATCTTAGTCTTATATCACGAAACCCTTAACCCTTAACCCCAAACCCTAAACCCCTAAACGGTAAACCCTAAACCCCAAACCCTTTAGTGCTGATCCTGAGGAAACAGTCGCAAACAAACCCATACAGCTCTGTGAGAATAACAACACTGACTTTGCTTTTGGTAAGTGTAGTGGGCCTTTTAGGGTTTAGGGTTTAGGGTTTAGGGCTTTCAACACTGAGTTTAGGTTTTGGGGCTTCGGGGCTTAGGGCACATAGGGATCTGCAACAACGCGTCGAAGCTCTTCCTCCCGTCTCGGGGGACAGGGCCTGCCCGGCATGCATATCCCGAAAACCCTGCAACTCAAGAGATTTTATATAGGGTTCCTAAGATTTGGGCTTTATCGTTTGAGGTTTCGGATTCCCGGAACCTTACGTCGCACATGTCAGCCCTGTCAAAGGTACGGCTAAGAGCTGAGATGCTGATCCCAAGCATCGACGGGGGAATGGCCGCAGACGCCTCGCTCAAGAGCTCTGCCTGCCTGGAAAGGTGAGGGGTCAGGGTTTCAGTTTTGGGGTTTACTGGCTCCCTGTTGGGACGATATTAAGAATGATCACTTTAAATCCTTCTTGGGTTTTACCATAACAGAAACGTAAAGTTGTATCCAACAAGGACCATTTATAATTAGGGTTTGTGAAGGGCGGTGAGGCCTGCGGACTTAGGGCTACTGGTTCATTAAGGGTCCAAGTACCTAAATAATCGTATACTCTCCCTATCCGAAACCTAAGTATCTGATTATTGGGTCCTTTGGACCCTTAAGGGGTTACAAAACCTTAAGCCCTAAACCCTAAACCCCTAACCTAAGTACCTGATTCTTGGGTGCTTTAGACCCTTAAGGGGTTACAAACCCCTAAACCCTAAACCCCAAAGCCTTAAACCGAAGAGCTCGACGCAAGAAGCCGTCAACTCCAACTCGAACGGGCAACCCGGAGCGCTAGGTTAAGGGTTTAAGAAGTACAGGCAGAGCTCCAGATGGAATTCCGTGTTGGTTATCCATCATCCTTTCTTGCGGGAGGACACTAGTAATGGAATTAAAACTCTAAACATGACCGTCTTATCATAGGTCATTACTGATAAAAGTACTACGCGTCCAAGATCCAGGTAGGGGGTACCGATTGGGGTTCAGCCAAAAAGCGGAAATCGGGGGCTGCAGAGTTAAAGCTTGAGACACTTGCATCGCGAGTTTCACCATGTTGGGGGTTTAGGGTCTATAGCTTCAATGTAGGAGTTTCGGGTTTAGGGTTTGGGGTTTCAGGTATTCTAGAGCAGCTCAGCAGGTGTTCCGGGTTCTGGCTTGGGGGTTTCTGTGCTTCTTAAGTGTTCAGGATTGTTAGCATTAGGCCTTGGTGTGCGGTGCTGGGGGGTCGTGGGGTGGCTCCTCTGACGAATTGTTTTTGTTACTATAGGGGCCTTAATCATTAGAATAGGGTTTAGGGATACTTGCTACTGTAATTATAGAAAGGAACCTCCAAAATAGTAGAGGTAATTATTTAGGCCCCTATATGAAGTACTTTGCGCCATCCGAACAGGGGAAGATATCATTAACGGTCTTGTGCTTCTCAGGACTCTGTTGATTGACAACTACTACTGAGGTTACTATTGCTATGTGCAGAAGACAATTGCCAGAAGTATGACGACGACGACGCGGTAGTACGCCTGTCACCGAAGACAAGTATACCCCTCATCGCTAGTGGCGATGGTGGTGAGCTGCCAGTGAGGAACTGCGGACTAGGCAGATCAAGATGAAGATGCAGATGACGATGCAAACGATAACCAAAACGCCACGAGAATGATGATGTCGAGGAGAGAAAGAGGTTCACGATGACTGCGACATTGCTGTTGCTGTTAAGCTCATGCTTGCGATGCCACTTGTGGTTGCTGCGGTGATAAGCCTACGGCCTGGTTGGTCGTGAGGGGCCAGCCGGTCAAAGCGCGGGCCGCTACCGCTCGCTGACCCCTCACCCTCGATAGCTCTTTTGCGTGGCAAAGGAGGCTCTCTCCGAGGACAGCTTCAGGCCTAAAGCCGCGCGCCTTTTCCGCCAGTCGCCAGGCACTATATCCGCACGAGCCAGACCCAGGCGGTGTCGATGTACAAAGCAGGCGATGTTCGTCTCTATGGTTTAGTAGGGTTTATGGGTTTGGGGGTTTGGGGTTTAGGGTTTGGGGATTTAGGATCCAGGGTTTAGGGGTTAGGGGTTCAGGGTCTAGGGGTCTAGGGCTTAGGATACGGGTACTAGTCTAAGGAACCCTACGGAATAGCCTTGGTAATTACTGAGGCTTCTACATTGTTCTCATTAGTAGCATGCGTGAAGGTTCACGATTAGTTGCGAAGCAAGGTCGTACTAAGTCTGAACCCTAAACCGCCAAAAAAAAACTAAACCTCTCAACCCAAAGCCCTAAACTCTGAACCCTAAACCCTCAACTCTAAACCCTACACCCTAAACCCTACATCCTAAACCCTAAACTCTAAATCCTGAACCCTAAACCCCAAGCCCTAAACCCTAGACTCTAAACCCTAAACCCTAGACTCTAAACCCTAAACCCTAGACTCTAAACCCTAAACCCTACACCCTAAACTCTAAACCCTAAACCCTAAAGTAAAAACCCTAAACCCTAGACTCTACACCGTAAACTCTAAACTCTAAACCCTAAACCCTAAACCCTGACTCTACACCCTAAACTCTAAACTCTAAACCCTAAACCCTAGACTCTACACCCTAAACTCTAAACCCTAAACCCTAAACCCTCGACTCTACACCCTAAACTCTAAACTCTAAACCCTAAACCCTAAACCCTAGACTCTAAACCCTAAACCCTAAACCCTAGACTCTCAACCCTAAACCCTAAACCCTAGACTCTAAACCCTAAACCCTAGACTCTAAACCCTAGAATCTAAACCCTAAACCCTATCTCATGAGCAATAGAACCCTCTCGGAGCCTCGGAGAGCGACCCAAGAACTCCACCATGCCGGTGGAGAGGTCGTAGACGCCGCCTGGTGCTTGGAGGCCCAGGGGACTTAGTAATGCAGTTATAAGTATGGTTATAAATCCCCTAATATGGGTTATAACTATACTTACCCTAATTACAACCCCACTTATAACTACCCATGAACCTCCAAGTATGGGTGATTATAACTAGGGTAACTCCATTTAGGGTACTTATAACTCTACTTACAACCTACTTACTAAGTCTCTTGGGCCTTCAAGTGGACACCCCGAAAAGGCGGGTCTTCGCAGTTTAGGGTGTAGGGCTTTGGGTTTAGGGTTTAGGGTCTAGGGTTTAGGGCTTAGGGTTTAGGGTCTAGGGTGTAGGGCTTTGGGTTTAGGGTTTAGGGTCTAGGGTCTAGGGTTTAGGGCTTAGGGTTTAGGGCTTAGGGTTTAGGGTTTGGGTTTCAGGGTTTCTGTAAGTGGGCTGTGAATGTTTAAAACGGCCTCCATGGCTTCAATGATGCCTTGCTTGTGGAATAGGTTCGTGATTTAGTTTAGGACTTTATGAGCAAGAGGTCGTACGTTGTTGCAAAGGGGTTCTGGGCTTCTCGCACTTCGAAGCCGCTAAAGACTTTGTTGGTGCAAAGCTCGCACGCCCAATGCCCAAGTTCAAAACCCGGAAGCCCTGAACACCTCAAACCTATACCCTGAAGCCTGAACCCATGAACCCCATCCCCTCTTGCCCCTAAACCTCTCGCTTGACTCTAAGCCAACACACCAAAGCCCTTAATTCGCAACCCCAAATCCTAAACCCTAAACCCCAAAGCCCTACATTCTGAACCCTAAACCCCAAGCCCTCACAAACCAAAAGCCCTAAACCCTAAATCCCAAACCCTCAGAACCCAAAGGCCCCAACTCCTAAACCCTGATCTCTAAACCCTAAAGGCCTGAACCCTAAACCACACATCCTAAACCCTGAACCCAAAAGCCCTAAACCTCCAAAACCCTGAACCCTTAACCCACAAGCCCTAAAGCACCGAGGCCCGTCCTTCTGATTTTAGAACCCCAAGCCCTCAGCTGTAAGCCGTTGAACCTGCACCCTTTTTACAGTTTGGGGCTTTGGGTTCTGGGGTTTGGAGCTTACCTGTAGTCTCCATCGTAGTTCCTCTTTGGGGGTGAACCAATTTTAACACCAAAAAGGAACTACAATGGAGCCTGTAGGCCCTAAACCCTAAACCCTAAACCCTAAACCCTTAAGTTTTGTTGGGTTAAGGTTACGTGCCACCCCCAAAGCGCGAAGCGAGGAACCTCGAGGGCTATGTCTGAAATTTCTCCGACCTCTGCGCCAGTTAAGGGTTAAGGGTTTAGGGTTTAGGGTTTAGGGTTTAGGGTTTAGGGTTTAGGGTTTCTCCGAAACACCACCTGCCAAAAAGTCTTCTGAACAGCCGTACGCGACAAGGCAACATAGTACTTTGAATGACACCGAAAGACGGCCCGCAGCCAGTGCTCTGTTAACACATAGCCAGCCAGCACTCTTGACTTCTTCTGCCGCCATGCTTGGCGGCAGGTCAGTTTGAACGTAGCGAAGACGTGGGTATCCCACGGCTGCAGCAACCCTGTCATGTTCGCAGGAATGTAAGCCTGATGCCGCAGCGTCTGGCACATGCTACAGATGATTGCATCAATGTGCGATGTGTGCACATCCAGCAATCTACTCTTAAACCCTAATCCCAAACAGCAGCAAAACGACCTCTCTCTCTCTCTCTATATATATATATATATATCTCATTTGTTCTGCACTGAAACTGAGATTCTAATGCTCAGAGCCTGGACCTCACAATCTGCCAGGTTTAGGGTTTAGGGCTTGTAAGGCTAGAGGTCCATGTACCCAAATAGTATATACTTTGCCCTTAAAGTAATCCCTATATATGTACTGTGGGGCCAAAGTAGATACTATTTAGTTACATGGACCCTCTGGGTAAGGCTAAAGAAGACCGAAGCCTCAAAGACCAAACCCCGAACCTCGAAGCTGCCAAAGGCAAAGCTTCCGAGCCCCCAACTCCGGAGCCAAAAAGCCCGGAGTTAGGGTTTAGGGTTTAGTTTTTCGGGTTTAGGATTTAGGTTTAGGGTTTAGTTTTTAGGGTTTAGGGTTTATTTTTTGGGGTTTAGGGATTTATGGTTTAGGAACTCCGGAGTCAGAAAGCTCGGTTTAGGGTGCAGGGCTTTAGGGCTTAGGGTTTCAGAGCTCTCAGAACGAAACCACGGCCCTAAAGCAACACACCCAAGGCACGGCACGACTCTGAAAGCCGTACAAACCATGAAACCATAAACTAAACCCCAAAATCCTGAATAAGCCCTTAGGCGCCTAAGCCCCAAACCCCTCAAAACCCCTAAACTCCGAAATCCCTAAACCCCTCGAAGCCCAAACGTGCAGGGCCTTGGATCTCAATCTTTCCGCTCTTCACCGCCTCCCGGAGACCCTTGCCTGTGCTTCGAAGCTCAGAAGACTAGGGTTTATAGGGTTTAGGGTTTAGGGTTTAGGGCGTAGAAACCTACCTATAGTCTCCATTGAAGTTCTGGTTTATTTGGTTAACCAGACGTATATTTTAGGATCCTAACCATAAACTTGGTCAACCAAAAGGAACTACAATGGAGACTATAGGTAGGGGACGACCAAGTAAGTATGTTCAGGGTGTGGGGCTTGAAGTTTAGGTTACAAGCGGATCTAGAAGTTAGTATTTCAGGGTACTTTGAAGGGTCAGCTCCAGGAAGTCGCCCTTGCGATCTGCCGAAAGGAGCGCGGGCAGCTGCGACGGCGTGGTGCCCCGTTTAGGGTTTAGGGTTTAGGGTTTAGGGCCGCCAACGGAGCACGAGCTTGTCGAAGACCTCTGCCCACAAGGCATCCCCGGGATCGCGGGTGTAGATCACGCTGCCGTCGCCCAGTTCCTCGCGCCAGATGCCGGCGTAGGGTGCTGGGCTGCCCACCAGCCGAGCTTGTCGTGGTCGCAGGCGATTGAGGGGCCTTTCCGCTATTGTGTGCAAGCCAAGTTTAGCTCACTGAACGGGACCAGTACAAATCACGAGCTCACTTTAAGCCCGTGGCACATCAGCCGAGCTTGCCTTCTTAGGGTTTACCTAAGCCCTAAAGCCTTAACCCCTAAACCCCTTAGGGCTTTTTCGTTTCGAGATTTGGGCTGAGGCTGAGGATTTAGGATTGTCCAGGCCCGAGGAAACCTACCACTTCAGGGCTCCTTCTCATGATTTCCGTATAGCAAGCCCTGACAAGGTATTTAAATATTTTGGTGCAAGATAACCCTAAGGGTCCAAAGGACCTAATTATCATGTACTATGGTTACGGATGTTTCAGTTTTGCAGGTGAGTATTCAGAAGAGTATATAATCCCTAAACCCTAAACCCTAAAAAACCCTAAATAAGGGTTGAAGTTAAGGGCTGGAGGGGCTGTGGGCTCTGGGGGTTTACGTACAAAGGCTTCCAGTCTTGAGGATTAAGCCCTAAACCTTTGTGCAGGGGGCCTTTATGACTCGAATATGTTTTTTTTGGGGGGGAAATTATACTACAAAAATAATTCAACAATAAGAATAGTGATGCTAATGATCATAATCGTAATAATATTAAAAATAATATGAATAATAATGATACACGTAGTAATGATAATGATCGTAATGATAATACACATGAAAGTAAAAATAAGAATAATAATGACAAAAAGGAAGCCCCGACATTGTTACTAAACCCACAACCCAAAGCCCTGCACCCCAAACCCCCAAACATCCAAACCCTAAACCCTGAACCCTTTAATCCCTAAGCCCTAAACCCCAAACATCCCAAACATCCCAAAAATTGACACCGAAAGACCGAAGTTTCCATTTCGAAAGTAGGGATCATGCGCGGACTCATGAGGCCGTAAGTATAGAGATTCAACAGTTGAGGGTTTAGGGTTCAGGGTNNGGTTTAGGGGTTCGAGTTTAGGGTTTTTTGAAAAAGTCTAGGGTCGCCCCCAACTCAAATTCCGGCGGGAACCTGGGTAGTTTGGGCACGAATTATCCGAGCTTCTGTACTGCAGCAGGAAGTTCATCGTGTGGGAAACGTTCACCTTCACCTGACAGTGCTCAGGCTTGTGTGGGTCCAGGGTTTAGGGATGCACTTCGTATTATTTATTACCCTACCCCCCCCCCCCCCC